CGACCGATAATTTACGTGACGAACGAAGTGTTCTTTGTCTGGGATTCTTTTCGCATGTTTATTGTAAGCTTTTCGTCGGGTTTTTTTGCACAATTAAGGAAGTGCTTCCTTTGTGTTTCAACACATTTAGCATATAATCTGAAGAATAGTTGGGCTTTATCACTCCTTACACATTGTGTAATCAGAAGACTGCGTGAGATAATGCAAAAGGTATTTTTCTAGTGACAGTAGTTACTCAGGATTCTGCCACGTCAGAAACGAATTCCAAACAGTTTCCTCATGCGCGTGTCCAGTATTTTTCTAAATATAAATTCACTGTACTGTCTCAATTGTTTGTTATATTTATGGTAGTCGATGATATAGGATACAGGATCATAAGAAAGAAAAATAGTTTCGTTGACTCAATAAATAACCCCGAGAAATTATCTTCCGTTTTTATGACGCTAAGGTCAGTCATCAGCTCGATCCTACACATCTACGTAGTTTCTCAAATTTGCTTATTTATGAGCAGTATTGCGAAAGCAAAATAAAGGGGGAGCTCAAGTTGGCTATTATTTATAATACTCCTGTTTTGCGGATTTTACTGTCACGTCTTGCAAGCATGACCACACACAATTGAATAAAAGATTATGTAATCTAGTATTAGCATTCTATTGAGCGTATTTGAACGTAAAAAAAGTTACGTGTCAAAGCAACAGACTTTTTCGTTAGACATTGGAAGCTGATAACAGTCTGTGTGTATATTGTGAGAAGATTGTGTAATCTTCTTGACCTTAGGAAAGCGCAGTATTATTTCAAGTAATATTATCCTTTCGCGTAACTCGCTTCAGCCACGTTTCAAACGAAAACGATTACGCTATAAGCCTAATAAATCGCGCATCTCCCAGATTCTACCACGTTCGTTTGGACGAAACTCGCTACCAGGGGCAATTTTGTTGAGAGGATTAAAAGCAACGCCATAACAGTTTATACATGTCGTATTTTACATGTTTTCGTTCCACGAACAGGTAACGGTGACGTAATTTGCAATTTTGGATTGCACTTGGTCATGCGCCATGCGTTTCACTCTGGCACCTTTATTTTGGCGAGAGTCAAACAGATCATGAAACAACGGAAACCGCGCAGAAATGATCATACTCAAGGACACAATTGTGAAAGAAGCTTGGCATTATAAAAATTTAAATTATTGATAACAATGAAGAATGGCAACCAAATATATTTAAGGCTCATTTTATTTCGATGACAATCTGTGGATAAGATCTAGAGGATTACTTCGTCTACATTCCGCTCTCACCAAAAGCAATCAAGCGTAGTTTACTTTGAATGTGAAAGCTGTTGTTTTGACCGGTTGAAACGGTCGAACAAAACACGAAGAAATTGTTAGTTTCCGTTTTTAGCTTTGCTAGAAAGTCAGGAAACTACGTGAGACGTTTAAGAAACGGTGAAGTGTGGATTGCCAACCACACGTGAACTCGTTGAAGCAGGTCTAATAAATGAAGGAACTGTTTTGATGCAGGAAATCACTCGATCATGAAGCACCAACAAATTGCTTTGTACGGGAGCTTAAAGCAAATATCTTGCTGATAGTGGTACAGTGACAGGTTATCGCCTTCAAATATATCCTGTGTACGTGCCGCTCAAAGCCATATATCTTAAAGCACTTTGGGCTTTCGACCGAACGTTCTATCTCCGACAAAAATCTACCAGTGTATTTGCTTCATTTCAAAATATTTGAAAAACGCCAACGATTTATGTGGTCGCTGGTCAGGAATACAGCCTGAGAAACGGCTGAGAAACACACAAACAAGGTTACTAAAATCAACCGAGCAAAACGAAAAAGAGGATGAAGTGTTCGATCAGTACAGAAATGTTTATGCTGAGACTATATAAAGTAATGAAACTCAGAAAGGTTTCTTTGCATGGCTGCAGGGAAAAGGAAGAAAAATGTCAGTGAAAATAGCTTTCATAACCTCCACTGTTATGTAGTACAAGGGTACTTAAAAATACGTTAATCACTGAATACGTTAAAAGGGCTGATTTAATTGTTATTCAATATATACAATTGTAAGAGGTCAGATTTGCACTGCATCACGGAGCAGTGAGTTTGTTGGAAAATGTTTGCTCTGTAGAATTTCGGATTCTTTTCCAAATTCTTAGCATTACTTAGGAACCCAAAGGCGTTTTTATCACCGCTTTACGATTTTTTTTTTTGTTACACAAGAATGGTTCCAAGTGGTTTGAGTGGTTATTCACCACAAACCTCCCGGGACACTTCATCTCATTGCTCCGCTATTCAGCTCGTTGATTACGTCATTCCTGTTTACGACGTCACGCTTTAACGAAGAAGGCTGCTGACACGGACGAGTTCATCATGTGACTTGCAGCACGGATAATTTTTGGCGGGAAACCGGAACATTCTCCCCATGTTGCGTCACAAGTCATTTATCCTGGCTGGGATAATGACAATGAACACCTAAATCCAGTGACGTCCACATTTAGAAAATCAACAACTGCCGTGTTTTGTTGAGGAAGGAATCTGATGGGTTTTTACCTTATAAGGTTCTGATCTGTAGCACTACTAAATCAACCGTTAAAAAGCGTAAGTAAGATAACCTGGCTGGTGAAATGGGAGGTATTCCGATTGAATGAGTCACTCATAAATAAGTATTTCTTGGGATGGGTGAAGGCCGGTACTTTGTTGATTGCATCCTGGTAATCGTGAAAATATTTTTTTGTCCGCTCATGATTTCACCTCATGATGTTAATATTAAAAGTATTTGATAAGAAACCCAGGTCAATGAACTCACTTTTGGAATTTAATCTTTCCAAATATCTTGATGTACTTGCAGGCTCTGATGGTTTCGCCAGTTGTTGTTTATCGAGTGCATGCACCGTAAGATGTTTTGTGAAAACATTTAAGGACCTCACCATGGGTTGATAATTCTTGGTGAGTACATGAATGACATAAGCGTTCTTTGGTAATAAACTTATTTCCTTAAGATCATTCGTTTGTTTTTTGTCAGTTGAGTGCATCTTCGTAATTACGAAAATATTCAAATTACGCGTGATTATTGGTTCTGTTAGGAGATGAGTCACCTATGGATTATTTTTGGATAAGAAGCATTTTTTTCTTAAATCAACTGTTTGTTTCTCTGTCGAGTCATCGTTGCATATTTCTTTTTTGTTTATAAATGACGTCATCGCCGTCGCGTTGGTGGATATCAACATAAGATTTCGTCGAGTTGGCTTTTTACCACCAACCATTATTTGAATTGTCTGCAGGGTCATTGATTACAGTTTGTAATTACAGTCTTTTTAATAAGAATATATTTTACAAAAATATGTTTTATAAGAATATCGAGGCTGAAATTTGCGAAATTTTAATAGTGAGAATATTTTAAGAATAGACCCCTGGCTGAAATTGTGGAAAAGAATTTAATGTTGTAAATACAAGTATTTGTTTTTACCAAACCATATAAACTTCTTCCTTTCTCTAAACGGCAAAACTAGCCAAAAAGCAACAATGCTGATAACATTTCTGCAAGAAGGTATGTGCTTCATATCAGGCTTTAATGCCTGCAGGCAAATTACTTTAACACCATCCAAACACCAAATACATTCGAAAACACAAATGTCATACACTATAATGTAAGAATATTCACAAGGATATTTTCAGCCTACAATCAGCAGAAAAAGTAGGATATTCAGCCGCTGCCGGAAAAAATAAGAATATCCAGCCTAGTCTATATTAGGGGCTGTCTGAAATTATACTTGGAAGATATGCCTCCGCATTTTATTGAATGAAAAAGTTTACCTTGCGGTCATATCATCGCCGGATTATAACTTGCAATCAGTAGAAAGTGGAACATGTGATTCCTTTGAGCCGCGAGCCGGGCTTATTAAGAAATTGAAAATAAGCTAAAATAACACTGCCGTTAGAAAGTTGGACCAGCTTTCTGGTATTAGGGAAAACGTCAAAAAACAGTACTGACAATTAGCAAGGGACGGCTCTTGTAATTAGGAAAGGTCCAAAATTTAGACACGACACGCTTGCAGGAAAGAGTGTGGTTTCTGTTAATACCGTCCACCTCTCTCTAGTCATGTTTGCACCCGAGTTTTCGTAGCACCCAACACGATATCCATGTATGTAAAACAGGAAGAAAAAGCCTGCGTCATTTTTCTCCTAAAAACTGACGCGGAATCCGCTCGTAAGGTGTATAATTTTTCTACGGGGTATCATTGATGGTTTTGTTTATTACCTTTTGACAATTATGCACAAAAACCGCTGTAAAGCACACAGCCCGCTGTGAACGGTTTCTATCAGTCGATACAATAGAAGGAGACTACAAAGACGTGTTGCGAGTTTGCTAACTAACAGTTCTACAACCATGAACAAATTGTGTTGGAAAAATACGCAAAAACATGAAATCATTACCGTAATACCTTCAAAATAAGTGTCAGCATCCCCATTCCCCCTTTCAATGTTGGAAAATGGTAAAATGCGAACTTGTGTAGGATGAAAGCGTTTTGTCAACATCGCATAGGGGTAGGGAGGGGAAAAATGCGTATAGAATGAATTTTTCAACCCTTGCGACCAAGGTTGTAGGTTATGTAAATGACAGTTGTGGGTTGCGTGTAATGATCATTAGTAGAATAACGCAAATACTGCAATCTGATTGGCTGAGCAATTTGTATATCATCCAGGCCTTAGATTGCAGTGGCTGTAGGTCGTCAACATAATGGCTCGTTTTCTCGATTCTCTACTGTTTCGAGAAAGATTTAGAAACATTAGTGGACAATTCGATTCCCAAGAACACTTTAAAAGTAAGGTAATTGACCGTCATGCGACTTTAAAATCTCAACATTTTCAATGAACGGATGAGCACGTACAAACAGCTACAAGTTTCAAAGAACAATTCAATTCGCATGCGATTTTGCTTAAGTGTGAAAATAAATATTACTTTATATGTAGAGAAATAATTGGAATCGCTAATTTGAAAGCAATTTCGATTTCTATGAGGTGATAGCTGATTCGGCCTTCGACCTCGTCAACTATATCCTCAGAGAAATCTCGAACTCTTAATCTAATTGTTAATTAGTTTATAGTTTTTCTTTCAAAACGGTAAAAGTACTCATAATCCCAACCGACAGAGAAGTGTCTAATTAATTTCCAAAATACGTGGGCCTGCTGATTCAAGACATTTCTATCAAAAAGAAAAAAAAAACAAAGTACGTTCCTGCAACTACTTCGTGCGGACTCCAGCTTTGTTGGAAATAACAACATGCAACCTTTGAGCCAATGAGGACGCTCGCTTTTTTCTAACTATTCATGATATGTTAATTAGCTAAATTGAAAATGTTCTCAAGAAGATGGATCTTTATCGATACCTAATTACTCTACTGAAATTACAAATCTGAACATGACGTGAAGGCACGAATCTTTTTGCAATAATTTAATTGGAATTGTACTCTTACTTGAAGAGATCAGATGTAATGAAAAGTTATCTCTATTTTATTTTATTTTACTAAAATGAAATTATCGTAGTTGTGAAATGATTTGAAAAAGTGGATCTTTAACTATTGATAAGTTATTTGTTATAGAAACCAAATAAAATCGATCTGGTGAAAAATATTAGAGAGAAATACAAAACAATGTTATGAGGCGTCATTTCACATTGTGGAGAAATTTATTTTGTGACAAAACACACAAAAAAATTAAAAACCTGTACACTTCTATCGCATTATTACATGTTAATTGCTTCCTGTCATTGTTTTTTAATCACACCACAAACGAATCAAAGAAAATGAGTGTTATTAAGTGCCATCCGTACATCCCACTTTAAACGCACCGAACGAGAGTTCCTACAGTCTGAGTTAATTCCTACTAAATCAATGTTAGTATGTCGCCTTCGTTTTTTCGCTGAGTATTTTAACTTTCTTTCTGTTTTTCTCTGGATGCTTATGCCCATCACTTCCAAAACGCTCGATTATTGAAAAAATTCTTAGTCCGCGTCAAGTCATGAAAACAGCCAACAGCGACAAAATTTTAGAAACTTCCAGTGTGGGGCAAGCACCGAGCAAAGACTTCTTCTCTTTAATCGTCAGGAAAGATTCTATTGTATGGCGCACATGGAAAATAACATTGAGAAGTAATAAGTCCTTGCCAAGCGAAACGACTCAATCGTGGCAAGACTTCGAAGGTAGCTCCAGTGGCAAAAGACTCCAGAGTGAAATACGACGAGTGTTTGGAACAGACACCTTGAATTATGTCCTGTCGGTGGTAACACAAAGCTGGTTGCCCTACTTGAAGAATGACATCATGGTCGAAATTCTTGTTCGACTTGATCTTCTTGACATCGCGCGGCTTGCACAGGTAAGATAATTGTTTCACCGTTACATAGAGTCGTATCAAGCCTTTGTCAACTTGAAATATACAGTTTGTAAGTCAGTAAATACTTAATGATAATTTTTCAAGTACTGCATGTTTTTATCAAATACATTTACATCATTCTCCATTTGCACCTGCGAGATCGAAATACAATTTAAAGAACTCCGCAGGCCATTCCTATTTTGAGTATGTAATGAGTATAAACAAATATTCTTACCAAAGGCATTATTTAGACCTTCGTCATTGTTTTATGGCAGTATTTTTCGACCCCAGTAGATCAGTTACCTAAATTTCTTTTCAACTAGCTAGGACGTGTTTAATCAAGCCAAAACAAGCACAGCGCTACATTGTCATATCACATTTTGAGAATTTCAAGATTCACCAGCACAAACTCTGATTGACATTTTTATTTTTTAATGATATTATGATGTGAAAAGAATTTTTTCAGTTTCGTGTTTCGCTGGTGAGATCGACGTGTATAGATGAGTTCACTTGATTTATCGTTTGCAATAAATTTATAACTATGATGGTTTAACTATAAAACATTTCGAGTACGTACTGTATGTACGAAACGACTCAAACATCTTTCAGTCTCACGGACAAGTACGATAAGAGGAAACGTTTGTTAGTTATGAGTCGATAGAACGGCAGCTTTGAATTCAATGTTTCTCCAGCTCTATTTTTAAAACTAAACAACAAAGACACGCGCCCAGATGGTCATGAACCACTTTAACCTTCAGTATGAGTTAGTATGAACGAAATCTTTTAGTTGTGAAATAAATTGTTACGCGTACTTTATTTGCAACATCTGCGTCAAGTTTACGCATCTCATTAATCAAAATATGTCAGCCACATTATAACAAACTATTCCAAGCTTCATTAGGACTTAACACTAGCAATACTCTAAATTAACGTATTTGGCGTTCTAAGCCCACTAGGTGCACTAAGTTCTAAGTCCAAGTTATCATAAAACACAAATGAAAGTGAATGTAATCTTAACTGTAACGAGATCTCTTAGCTAATTCCATATCAATATCCCTTGTTGGTGCTTTTCTTTCAAGCATTTTGAGTGAGAACTGTGACGTCTTTGTTAAATGTTTCAAAACCAATATTTTAAAGCTGTTTCCAAATTTTTAGGTATGATAGCAATTAAAATGGATATTTGAAGAGTTCCGGAGAGAAAGTTTAGAATATTGAGAGAACAATCAGCTTCATTTTTGTGGATTTTTATGCCCTCCGTGTTGGTGTACCAAACCTACAATACACCAATATGATGCAGCATCCGGTTGCTTGAAATTTTATTATTATTTTCTTTTCTCAATAACTTCCTTACAATATGTACTACAGAGGTCTGGGTAAATTGTCTTTTTTTGTCATACCTACTCTTTTTGATGAAAAGTTTCAGATTTTATCCTTTGTCAGTGTAGGCCATACAAGGAAACAGATTTTTGTCATTTGATCGTGTTAGTTTACCAAAATAGTCCACAAATAATCTCAGCTCCATAATATAAAGCAGTTACCCGAACTATTTTTCAACTTCATTTATACATTTTGCAACTATTGCTTTGCGAACAAATGAAATTTAAAAATACTTAAGCCTCAAAATAGTGCTTTTCAAGAGCTTGTGCAATATAACAACACTGGTGGTCATGTTGCGTAAAAGGTTATAAAAACTAATATTGTCACTCTATTATAGGGCATTATATAACAATGATATTGGTAATCCTGAAAGAGGAAAAAAAGAAAACAAAAATTTTTTTAACTTGAGTTTAATAAATATCAGGAAAAATTGAGACAAACCTACTCGATTGTATATTCAACCTTTTGTCAATGTTTGTGTTGCGAGTGCAGTGATTGTTATGTTTTTAACATACGGTCTTAATGACCGGCGTATTATTTACATTTTAAGAAGAAATTGTGATTATCGATTTCGACAGAATTGGTATAGTCACGGTGGCAAACAAACGGCAAAAAAGTAAGTGTTAGTTGCCTTGATGACTGCTACTGAACACACAATTACAAATCTGATGCATGTTCCTCAACCCTATAGTTTTCCTGGTTACTACATTGTCATAACAATTTCATTGTATCATTTAATACCTGCATGTAGTTATCAGTATTTTCCATTCTCTTGCTTATCAATATCAAGCCACTGTACGTCTTGACTGATTCTCAGTTTTGCGCGTCACCATATTGCAGGTTTGTCGAGCTTTGTATAATGCTTCTTCCAGCGACATGTTATGGAGAAGGCTCTATACCAAGCACTTTGTAGTGATTTCACCTGAAATTCATTTGGTTGCTGAAGATATCGGGTGGAAGAAGGCTTTCCTAGTACGTCGACTAAAGCTTCAAGCCGTCCAGACCAGGAGGAGAGTTAATATGAAACAACAAGGGGAGGACTTAAATAACACAACAAATGAAGAGAGAAAGAAGTTGACTTTAGTTGTCTAAATCGTAGTACTATTTCAGATTATGCAGTGTGAAACGAAATGAGGAAAAGAAAAGAAAAAGAAAAAAGACATACCGTTGTCACACGTCAGAGGACGAGTGAAACACTTCATG